ACCCCCTCCTTCCCTCCCTCCCTCCCTCCCCACGGCGTGCCCCTCTTGTGTGTGTCCAGGCCATCGACAGCCTGGTGCGGGTGCAGGCGGAGCTTGTGGACTACTCTGTGAACAGCGTGACGGGTGAGAGGCGATGCTTGGGGAGCCTTTGGGGTCGGAGGTGGGGGGGGGGGCGGGCAGCGCGCCGCTGCGAGCAAGGCCGCAGGCGGGGCCGGTGGTTTGGAAAGCTTTGGGGTCGGGGTTGCGGCGCCGCGCGCGGCTCCGGCGCGGGTGCCGGCCCCCGGCCCGCCGCGCCGCCTCCTCTGCCGGCACTCTACCGGGCCCCCTGTGCTCCCCGCCCACCCACACACACGCACACACACACCGAACCAAGCACCAAACCCCCTCCCTCCCTCCCACCCCTGCCCCTGCCCCCGCTCTTCTCTGCAGAGGGCATCGAGGCTCTGGCCAACACTCGCGTCGTCATCCGCCCCGCGGGCAAGCAGGCGGACGAGGGGTACGTGGCCTCCTACAAGGGCGGCCGCACGCAGCGATCCTTCTCCGGCTCCGGCGCCGACGAGGACATCGTGGTCAGCAGCGCGCGCGCCTACGTCAGGTGTGTGTGTGCCGTGTGTGTGTGTGTGGTGGTGTGTGTGTGGGGGGGTAGGGGTAAGGAAGGATTGTGTGTGTGCGCGGGACAAGTGTGTGTTGGGGGGGAGCCGACGCCTCGGCTAGGTGTAGCGGCCTGGCCCTGGGTTGCGGGTGGTTCCTCTTTAGGGCTGCTAAGCGCTGTCCCTCGCCTGCAGGGGCTCTCCACCCCCCCGTCTCTCTCTCCCCCGGTCCCTCCCCTCTCATACCCTGCTCCCCCTCACCCCCTGCCCCACATGCAGCGCCCTCAACAAGATGATTGGCTTCATCAGCGCCAAGGCCGCGGCCAACGGCGCCACCTCAGCGGCAGAGGCCAGCCAGGACGGCGCGGCGGAGGAGGCGGTGGCGGCCTGAGGCCCCGCCGCCCCGGCCCCGTCCCCCACCCACGCCGCCCACCCTCGCCTCTCCTCTCGCTACCTCCCCTCGCTTGCTCTCCGCACCCACATTGCGGTCACTGCTCTACCCCTCTTGCCCTGCATCCCTCTCTCTCCTGCGCTTCCTGCCACACACATACCTCGTGCCGAAGGCCCGCCGCGTGTACGGCAGCTGGGAATGGGAAGCACCCACCTTGCTGTTCCCAGAGCTTGCTTACGGCAGCGGCCCCGCCGGCTGCTGCTGCTGCGGTGCTGTTACGGCATTACATGCAACGACTATCGTGCTGAGGTGCCAGCAGGGGCTGGAAGGAGCTGATGGGCTGGACGGAGGCGGGGGAGAGTGACAGCGGGGGGGGAGAGAGCGGGGGACGAGAGGGGAGCAAGACGGGCTGGGAGCGAGGGACGGGAGCATGTCAGGTCAGGTCGGAGAGTTAGGGGAACCAAGCAGTCATGAAAGCGGCAAAGAAAGCGAGGGGCAGATGCTGGGGGGCGGGCAGGGAGGCGGCCGGGGGCAGAGCGCGAGGTGGGCTGCCGTTTTGCAAGCCAAGCCGGAGGAGAGCGCGCGGCGCGCCGCCGCCAGCCCTCCCTCCTCCCAGCCGCGGGCCGCCTCACTTCTTCTTCGTCGCGTGCTGCTCGCCGTCCACGCCGTGCTTCTCCTGCATGCGCCGCAGCTCCGCTTCTTGGTCCTTAAGCCCCACCTTGGTCTTGTGCCGCGTGGAGTTGTAATAGAGGATGATGAGGTAGCGGTTCTGCGGGCAGGTGGGGGCAGGCGGGGAGGCGGCGAGAAGGGTACGGGGGAAGGAGGGAGGTGGCTAGGTGGGCAGGCGGGCGGGTGGGGCGGTGGGCTAGGGCGCGTTGCCCTCCTCCTGCCTCCTGCTCCACCCCCTTCGCACCCCAGCGCGCGCGCCCAGCGCCGTGGCGTGGCCCGGCAGCTGATGCGCGGCGCGGCGCGACGAGCGGCGGCGCCACGGCAGCTGCCAGCCGCCGCAGGAGCTGCCAGCCGCGCCCCGCACCTGCACATTGAAGCCCGACAGGTGGTCGACCGCCGTCTTGGCGTCGAAGATGTCTTCATACACAATGTATGCCGTGCCGCGCGTGTCCTTGCTGTTGCCCACCCGGATCTGGCGGATGGCGCCGTACTTGCCAAACAGCGCGTACAGCTGCGGAGGGAGGGACAGGGCAAGGAGGGTTGGGAGGCGGCAGCGGCGATGGGGCGGGGCTGGCGGCGGGAAGCGCTGGGCCGCGGCTGCCCCCGGCATGCGCGCACCTCCTCCGCGGACATCGAGAACGGCAGGTTCCGCACGTAAAGCACCCTGCAGGCGCAAGAGGCCAGGCTGATCGGGCTGGATGTCGCGGCGCACCGCCCGGCGGCCATGCCACAGAGTTTAATTGCCACCGAACTTGCAGGGCAGGGCAGCCCCGCCCTCCCAAGCACGCTTGCCTGTTCACTTCGGGCGGCAGCCGCCTAACTCTGTCGTTTCGCTGCATAGCGGCCGACATGGCTGCTGCTGCTACTGTTGGCTGCTCTAGGGCGCGCCGCGCAAGGCGCTGGGACTCGGATGGCACTCACTCGCTGCTCGGTGCTCACTCCAGCGCAGCGGAATCCCACTCTGAAGGTCGCAGGAGCGGCAAGCGGAAAGTTGTGATGACTGGCGGCCTGACAGCGAGCGCAGGCCCTCAATTGCCGCCCCACTTTCCACCCCGCCGCCGCCGCCGCCGCCGCCGCCGCCGCGCTCTGGCTGCTGTTCCTAGCAATGATAGCGATGCGCCTTCGAGTTCCATTGCATCAAAACCAGGCACATGTGAACAAAGTGGTACGTTACACTAATTGCCGCCCTCAAAGGTCCTCTATGAACCCCATCACAGCCCCCACAAACTCCCCCTCCCGCCCCTCCAGCCCGTGACTGCCGCCCTCCACCAGCAGCGGCGCCGAGGCGTTGGCGCCCACCGCCGCCGCCATGCGACCTCCCAGATCCCTGCAAGAGGGCGGGAGAGCTTTCTCGGTTCTGGCAGGGCCGCGGGCGCCTGGTGGGCACAACGGCGCATGAGGCCACACGCAAGGCAGAGCGGCCTAGCCTTCTACCTATACGCCTCATGGTCTGGCACATACTCATCCGCGCCGCCCAGCACCAGCAGCGTGGGGGCCCGCCCCAGGGGGCCCAGCCTCTCCTGCATGGTGGCCCTTGGGGAAGGGTGCCCGCTGGGATTCCAAATCAATGCCGCCCCAGGTGCAGGATCGGCCTGGCAGCAGGAGTGGGAGACCTCAGGTGCCACCTAGTGGCCAAGGGCCTGCCTGAGCGACCCCACCTTGAGCTCCCCATCCGACAGGTCGGTGGAAAACATGTCGTCGTCCCCACCCACGCCCGTCAGCGAGGCGAAGCGGCGGGCGGTCAGCGGCGCCCCGTCGCTGTCGGGGTCCCGAAACTGCGCGGCGTGAGGCAGCATCATGCTGATTGGTAGCACTGATCAGGGGAGGCGGGGGGGGGCAGGGCACGCCAGGCTACTGGGCAGCACACCACAGAGCATCTCCCCTGAAGAGGCAGGCGGACCAGGGCATGCAGGACGGCAGGCAGCGGGAGCTGCCGCGCGCGGCAGGGCCCGCACCTCCACCTCCTCGCCCCGCCCCTGATCCACCATCCGCCGCGCCAGCTCCAGCCGCGCCACGGTTTCGGGCAGCGTGGCAAGGTACTCACGGTCAGACACCTGCAGGCCGTTCAGATGCCATGGCTGTGAAGTTGGGAGCTTTCGAGGGCGGGAGAGGGCGGAGCGGGACACGTGCACGTGCTGCCCAGTGAGGTCACAAGCGCTGCCCAGTCAGCAGAGCAGCTTCAAGAAGTTCTGCCCCTCCCGGACAACCATAGGTCCCAGCCCAGTGGGGTGGTGGCCATGGATTCCAATGGTGTGTACCGCTCACCGGCGCCTGCAGGATGGTACCCAGCACTGGCGGGGCCTGGGGGTCGCCGTAGTGCCGCTGCATGTACCGCACGGTATCCTGGGTACCGGTGGAGTGGCCCAGCAGCACCATGCCCTGCACCACGCGCCGGGCACCTTTCATGTCTGTCAAGCCGCTCAGCCAAGGGCAAGGCAGCAGCCGGAGCAGGAGCACCAGAACAGCGCTCGCTCGGTGGGCGGCTGCGTCTGCCTGTCTAGCAGAGTGTGCAGAGCACCGCAGCGCAGCGTAGCAGCGCAGCAGCGCAGCCGTGCAGCCAACCACCCGCACCGCCGCAGGTCGCTCGCACCTCAGACCTATACGCCTCCGCCAGCCTCCGCGCCAGTAGCTGCAGGTCGGCTGCATCTTGGTCCAGGGACCCCAGCCCCCAGGCCAGGTGGGAGGAGGTCAGCAGCGGCTGCACCAGGCTCCAGCCTGCAGCACAGGCGCCACCAGAGGCGAGATGCCGGCGGTGGGGTGGCAGTCACGCTCAGGCATCGCGTGCCGGTGCCTGCTGTTTCACACTGTGCAGCAATCCGTGCTATCCGTGCTGCAGCATCAGCTGAAGCGCCCAGGGCATGCATGCCACGCTGCCAGCCACCTCCCGCCCCAGCCTGCCTCCTGCCCAGGAAGATCCCCGCCGCGCCCGCACCTTCCGCCTCCAGCGCCTCAGCCAGCAGCTGGGTGTAGTTTGCAAAGAAGAAGCCGTCGCCCAGCCCGCCCACCAGCACCAGGTGGCGAGGGTGGCTGCCCGACAGCAACGCCACCTGTGCGCTGCCGGGCCCATACTTGAACAGAGTGCCCTGCAGTTTGAAGCATTGGAGCGGGGCATGTCCGTGCAGCAAGGCTTTGGTGCCGGCATGCGCATCTATCTGCATGCCAGCGTCGCGCAAGGTGCGGGTGGCACCAGCCAGGCAGGCGCCGCCGCACCTCCATCTGCGGCAGGTCGGTCCCCGCCGCGAGCGGGCCTGCATGGTTGGGTATCGCACAAGCGGAGCTTCTTCAGCCCCGGAGCTGCTGCCTTCTCACGGCAGCCACGGTTTGTGCCTCCGGAACCGGCGGCTGCCCTGCCCCCAACACCGCTGGGTCCCAGAGACGGACATTAGGCTTTTGCACCCATGCAGATCGATCTCATACCTCACCGGGTGCGAGCAGCAGCAGGGCTGCGACAAGTGCCTTCTGCCAAACCGCAAGGAGCCTTCCTTTCGAAAATTTCAGTGCCATTTCGTATGTTTGCAGTGAAGAAATGCTTGGGGAAGACAAGACACAAGAATCGCGCCGGGATGACGTAGTGGGATGCTGCGCCTGCTGCGCAGGCAGGGCGCCGTCGCCGCGCCGTGCGCGTAATGCAAGCACATATGAAATGAAAGGATGCCATCACGCAACGGAGAAATAAATCTGCCGTGGGCCAGGGCTGCTCTAGTTGACAAAGGGGGCCTCAGGGTCAAACATGAGAGCACCGTGCGGAGCAAACACTGTTGGCCATTGCAAGGGTGGATGCTGCTGGCATAGAGCACAGGAGAGGACACCAGGCTGTTATAATACAGGCCTCAATGAAGGGATTGAAAGGGGCAGGAGAAGATACTGGGGTGCATGTCACCACGCGGCGCGGGCAATCAGACTCCTCTCCCCCCCTTCTCTCTCTCCCCGTTTGTGTATGGTGCCTTCACCTTTCCAGCTGCTGCACCACAGCTGGGCCCGTAGCATTCATTTGCTCCTTATGGGTGTAACAGACAGACAGACAGGGCGGAAGGCGCCAAACCAGCTGCAGCTGCTCGCGCGGCTTGAAGAGTGCTCAAACCCTTTGCCCGCCTTTCTAGGGCGGGTTGGCACCCTTCTTGATAGGGAAGGAGGCATACATAGCCAGGCCGCACTGGCCCTCGGGAGCATCCTTGCCCAGGTTGCGCAGCAGGCGGATGTAGCCCTGCACGGGGGCGAGAAGAGAGCAGAATTTGAGGGGGGAGGTTGTTGTACACACAACATTTCTTGTCTTATCAGACCCCAACCTTGGTTTACTGTTTCCTTCCAACCGGCCCTCTCGTTCAGGCGCGCACCTTCTCGCCCCACTCTGCACCCCACGAGTTCTTGACCAGCCAGTAGGGCAGGTTGTGGGTGCCGTTCGAGGCGGTGCCGTAGCCCACCACCAGCACGGCATGGTCCAGCGCAGTGCCGCACTCGGCATCAAACACGCCGCCGCCATACAGCTGGAAGGCGAGCTGTAGGCGGGATAGGGCAGGCAGGAATGCCAACGGATTACGAATTCTTTGTTTGTGTGGGGGGGTGTCTGGAAATGCCCCCGCTGCTGCAATACATCTTGCCCGCACCACCCGTGCTCCCCTGCCCCAGCCAGCCATGCACCTGGTCTGCCTCGATGGCCACACTGACGGGCTGGTGAGCCACCGCCTTCATCAGCGCGTTCTCGTCGTTAGGCGGCACATCCTGGTAGCCGTCGATGGTCACCACGTGGCGCCTCGTCCTGTTGTCCTGGCAGATGCCATCCTCGGCCCTGTAGGGGTAGTCGTCCTCGGTGTCGATGCCGCCGTTGTTCACGATGAAGTCGAAGGCTGAGTCCATGAAACCTCCGCGGCAGCCCGTGTCGTATTCACGGTCGCAGTCCACCAGCATCTGCTCGCTAAGCGAGACCAGCTTGCCGGTGGCAATGGCATTGGCGCCCTCAACCGCGCCTGTGGTGCTGAAGGCCCAGCATGAGCCGCACAATAGCTGGTCCTTCACCTATAGGCACACAGCAGCACAAGGTGGAGGCCCGCGGGTAAGTAACGGGGGAGGTAGCTACCAACGGGGGAGATATCTATAGATGTTGGCAGGGGTGCGCGGCCCATCTGGCTTATGCAGTGGACTGACCAACGGAGCCGGGCTGCACCCCGGTAAATGCCTATGCCTGCCAGCCCGGCGCAGCCCCTGCCGATCCCTTCCTGCCCACGCACCGGTGTGACAGCCCCCCCGGCCACCCAGTCAACCTCCTCGGGTGGCACGGTGCCCTTGTACAGGAAGGGCGCAGCGCGCAGAGGCCGTTTCTTGTGCAGGTGGGCATTGTAGCCCAACGCCTTGGAGCGGTACTCATCCTGGCTCAGGTCTGCATAAACGCCCATGGACAGCTGCAGCAAGGTACACACTGGACTCTGGTGGCGGCGGGTTGGACTACACAAGAGGCTGGCAATGGTGGTTTGGCAGGAAGCAGTCAACCCAACGGTTGGGTTGCCGGCCACTTGCTTGTGGCAAACAAGAACCAGCCACGCAGGCCAGGGTCTGCTGCCCCAAGGTTGGGTGCCCGACTCTGGGTACAAGCAGAGCGCCAGCGGCGGTGGCGGCGCACCCAGTGGGATGTGTGCCGGGCGTTGTACTCGTGCGCGAAGCGCAGGTTGTCCAGCCAGATATTGAAGCGGCGCTCATACACCTGCACGGAGCGAGAGGTGTCGGAGCCCTCCTTGAGGGCAGGGGCAGACTGCTCTCACAAAAGCTCAGAGCCACACCTCTGCGCTGCTGGCGTAGGCTCGGTTCGAAGGTGGCTTCACGGTGTGAACCCAGAAGTCGAAGGCCTCACGAGGGGACTCCTGCAGGAGGGCAAGGAGCGCATGCGCATGTGTGTGCATACCATCTGGGGCCTGATCCAGCGCTGCCCAGGGCTCTGCTGAATTTCCCACCGAACATGTGCTGCCCAGCGCAAGTGCCGCACATGCAGCGCAGACAGGGCGCTTGTGGGCAGCGCCAGCGCCCCTTTAGCGCTGGAGCGGCGGCGGTGACCAGCGCTGCCCAGCGCCAGCGCCGCCCAGCACTGCCCGCGGGGTGCTGAGCAACCGTGGTCGGTGGGATTTTCTGGCCAGCGCTGGGCAGGCATGCACTGTCATCTGGGCAGATGACATGCATGCCGAGGGCCATCCATGGCCATTTAACGTGTACACGGCAACTGTAGTCAAGCCCACGGCCAGCGGCAACATTCCAGCTCACAATTGCCTGCTGGATGAACAGTCTGTGGTTCTCGAAGCGGAAGCCGGCTGCCACGGCCAGGCACGAGCAGGCTACCAACAGCACGGACAGCCGCATTGCGCTCCAGCACCCCCACATACAGAGCTCTGAGAGGGAAGATAAGAGAATATATCCCGCGAACTAACCAGAAACATGCTGCCAAGGCCCCTGGATGGGCGACAGGTGTCATAGTGCAGGACCGCGAGCGAGCGGACACGTGTCACAGAACAAGTCGCTCGCTTTCCGCTGGTTACGGGGGAGAGGTGTATGTTAGCAAGCTTGCAGCACAGACTTTCTATATAATTGGGTGGGGCTGGAATACTCCCATTAATGGCAGCAAAGCAGGTCAGCTGATCAGTCATGACAGGCACTGGGCTGGCAGTGTGTCAGGCTGGCAAACTGGATGCGAACTGTGATGAAGAGCTGGGAAAAGGCTGTAGCTGAATACAATCTGGAGGTGGTGGGTAAGGAGGGATGGGTCATGGAGGTGTGACCTGGCAGATGGGAGGTGGCAGCTTGCCAGTGGTGGCGGCAGGCGGTCGCAGGCAGGTGGGAGGGGTGGGGGATCCGGAGGGAGGAGGGAGAGGGAGGGAGGGAAATTGGGCTTTTCAGTCCTTCAATCCGTCAGCAGCAGCGCACACACACACCTCGCCTCGCTCCTGGGGCGGCTTTGGGTGCACCAGCTGGTCCAGCACCGCAGGCCGCCCCGGGCGTTTCTCTGCCAGCTTGCTTGTGTGGGCTTACAGTCTGATTTCAGCAAGAACAAGCTTGCAGCAAAGATTCCTCGCACGGGATGAATATGAATTGAAAGGATGCCATCACCCAACGGATGCCATCACGCAATGGAACAATAAGTCTGCTGTCGGCCAGGGCTGCGCTAGTTGACAAAGGGGGCCGCAGGGTCAAACAGGTATGCTTCGGTGGCCTCGTCCAGCCAGCGCACCAGCTGGCCGTCTGGCGGCACGCCATCCAGGCCCAGCCACTCCGCCGCCTCCTCCGCCAGCCCCTCCAGTAGCCTCGCCGCGTGGCGCGCCACGCGCCGCGTGAAGCGCGCCAGCTCCGCTGCCGCAGCCAGCTCGTCGCCCTCTGCCAGCGCTGCCGCGTACCGCGCCTGCATGCGCGGCCGGTCCTCTGCCTCCACGCCGGCGTTGAACCCGCCCACCGCCGCCTCGACCCGCGGCACCAGCGCCGGCAGGTCTTGAAACATGAGGGCAGCCAGGCGGCGCCCCTTCCAGAACAGCGAGCTCGGGTCAGGGCGGGCGCCGTCGACGCCCTCCATCTCCCGCGGCAGTGCCTCTGGAGGGAGGCCGGCGTACAGGGGGATGAAGGGGTTCCATGCCGGGGCGCCCATTGACAGGTAGGTGACGACGGAGAGGTGGGGAGGGAGGCCCGCCGAGGCGGGCAGGACGCGCGTGACTGCGGCGGCAGGCAGGCGCGGCACGGCAGGCGCGGCGCGGCAGGATCAGCCGGGCCTGCTGCGCGTGCGCGGTGTGCGGCCTGCTGCTGCTGCCCGGCCACAGCAGCCGCCACAAACACCCACCCATGCGCGTGCTGCAGCCGGCCCGCCGCTGACTCACCATGCGCCATGCCTGTTGCCAGAATGGCGATGGGGCGCCAGGGCTCATCTGGGTCCGGCGCTGCATAGGGGTCGTGCCGCCCCCCAGTGTAGTGGTCCCTCAGGCCCCCCATCACATCCTGCAGCTCCAGCGGGCGCCCCGGCGGCAGGAAGGCGGGCAGCAGGCCGCCCGTCGGCGGCTGCTGGTAGCCGCCCAGCAGCTGCTGCAGGCGGCGCACGCGCGGGACTGCAGCCAGTACAACCAGGCGGGGGAGTGGGGTGGGGTGGGGGTGAGGGTGGGGCAGCCATGCATTGCTCTGGGTAGGTGGCGTGGAGTGGCCAGGGCAGGCGTCCCGTTGTTTCCCCTGCATTGCCCCTGGCAGCCCGCCCTGCGCCTGCCCCCTGCCCGCCCTGCGCACGGCCCCGGCAACCGGCTGCCAGCAGCCGGCAGCGCACGCACAGTTGAAGTGGACGTCGATGGCGCTGCTCTCTGTGTAGTCTTTGAAGAAGTTGAAGGCCTGGCCGCTGGCGGGGTCATACAGGCCTTCCTCCACAGCATGCTCCACCAGGCCTGGCGAGGCCAGCACGGCTGCCGTGTCGCTCAGGTTCACCTCCTGCACTGCGGCGGGGCTTCAGGTGGATCGGGTGATGGAGGGCGCGGCAAGGACTCCGGCACCGTCTGGTGCTGAGCTGCGGCAGCAAGGTTGGCTGCTGCGCCGCACCGCGGGGACCCGCCCATCGAGACCCCCCTCACGTGCCTGCAGGCGCCCCTGGTTGCCGGAGACGAAGAAGGTGCCCTCGGGCACGCGCTGCGCCAGCCAGTGGTGCCCCGCCGCATTCTCCAGATACCACACCTCCTCGGCATCCGCCAGCAGCACGCCAAACCCTTCCCCCGAGCCGTGCTCCTCGATGAGAGACCCCAGCAGCTGGAGAGGGGGAGCGGGGGCGGCGGCAGGGAAGCAAGGAGGCAGGAAGGGTGAGGCGTCCGGCGGCTGCAGCGCTAGTGTGGCAGCGCGCGCGGCGTGCAGGCGGCGATGGCGATGGCAGGTGCCACGATGCATGCGCCGCATGCGGCCGCCGTCAGCCCCTCGCCGCCCCCATATGCTGCCGCCCCGCCATCTCCGCCAGCCGCATGGCACACCAAGCCACCCACCCACCCACCAAGCCACCGCCATGCGCCCGCCCACCTGCACCGCCTGGCGCGCCGAGGCGGCCTGCGGCAGCAGCAGCGAGGGGATGGCATCCTCCAGTACCCCCCCCGCCGCCTCCAGCGGGTCTGCCGCCACGGCGGCCGCCGAGCTCCAGATCGTCTCGGTGGCCGACACGGCCAGGCCCGCAGAGTTCACCCCCACCTCTTCGAAGGACGCGTTCCTGCTGCCCGCGGGGACGGCGGCCCGCTTGTGCGGGCGGGTGCAGGGGGCCGCCAGGTAGGCCAGCCCAGGGGCGGGCAGCTGCAGGGTAAGGTTGTTGTCGTTGGAGGCGAAGGTGGCGGGGGTATCCCGGGCAGGGTGGTACCGCAGGTTCCCCGTGATGTTGCTCCACCCAAAGTCCACGGTGCGGGCGATGTAGGCGCTGCCGTCCGCGGTGGCGCCGCGCCCGATGAGGATGGAGGTGCAGGCGCGCACGCTTGGCGCGGGAGCCAGCGCTGGGAGGAGGATTGGGAGCAGGGCCAGGGTGAGGAGGGCGTGGGGATCCATGCCTGCGAATGGGGAAGACAGTCAGGGCCAGAAAAGGGTGGCATGTGGGGGCTGCATGATTGTGCAGGGCAGCAAGCAGCGGCGAGCGGCGGCGGGAGCCGGAGGCGCTGGGACGGAGTGTCGGACCTGACTGCGCCATTCTTTTCTGAACGTCGCCTGCTTCAATAAACAGCTATCTGTCGCTGGCGAGCTCCGGTTGCAAGGGGGACGGGGCACATGGATGCGCTGGAGCGAAATGCCGGAGGCGTGTCCAAGTAGTGTAGCGGATCGGTGATGCGCAAGGTTGTCTGCAGCTCGGCAAACGACTTGGGTTGGAGGGGGCGGGGCGCGTGTTTGGATGCGGCGGGTGTGCCAGCTGGGCACCCCGCCCGGGCGATGACATCATGTGTATACACACAATGGTGGCCCACACAATCAACAGAACAAGCAATCTTGGCATCCATCTTACATGATTGTCGTCTCAGTGATTGAAAGTGGCTGATGAGCCGGTGAAACGCAGCGCAGGCAGGCGCGGCCACTGCCAGCGCTGGCAGCAGCGTGTGGCGTCATGCAAAGGGGAATGCCTGGCGGCATCCTTGCCATGCCAGTGCCACAGCAAATGAATCTAGGGACAAACATGTCGCCGGATACAGGGCAGAAAGTTTGGCTTGAGAGGTACCAGATGAGACAGACTTGAGCAGAGCACAGAACGGCAGGTGGCGGGCTTGAGTGCATACAGGGAGCTCAGGCGCCATGAAAAGCGACGGCAGACAGGCCTCGGCGCAACCGAGATGCGGGTAGCCAGAGCGGCTCACGACAAATATAGGCAAAATGCAGTTTAAGGTAAACGAACATGTTGTAGGGTCACGTGCGGGTGCCGGCGGCAGGCATGGACATTGCTGGTGGCGGAACGGAATCCCAGCACCCCATCATGGGATGCGCGCTGGCCGCCCACGGGGCTGCCAGCCGCCTCACTTGAGCTTGCGCCCAACGGCCGGCTTCACGATCACCTGCAGGCGCTGGCCTGCACGCAGCGGCGGCGGCGAGGGCGGGGTGTGGGTGTGCATGATGCGCAGCACACGCAGCAGCGGGCTGGGCGGCGAGGCGAAGCGGGAGGGCGGCAGGCGGGGCGGGCATGCCGGTGCATGACGCCCAGGCCAACCCCGGCGGGGAGGGCTCACCCATCGCGCAGTGCGTGGTGGCGCCGGATTGAATGTAGCAGCCTGCAAGAACAGCGCAGCCGAAAGGAAGCAGTTTGGTTCGGCCATCCAAAGCAGGTGGCGTGCATGGGGGGGCCTGCAGTGCACAAATCGACGGGCCGCCGCCCGCCAGCCGGCGGCCAGCCAGCGGCAGGGCCCCCATGCAGCCACAGAGCGCCTGCCACCCGCAGCCGCGCAGCCCACCATAGGTCCAGCCGGGCGACGGCTTGACGGCCCTGAACGTGAAGCTCCAGCTGCCGCTGCCGCTGGGACCCGCCTTCTTCACGCCCTTGTTGTTTTTGTTGCACACGGTGCCGGGCATGAGCCACCTGAAGGGGAGGGAAGGGAAGGCAGCGAGGTAGGGGCAGCGGCGCATGCCTTCTGGCGGCCAGGTGCTGCGGAGGGCCAGCAGAGCTGCTCGCAGGCAGCCTGAGGCAGGCGCATGGCAGATGCGCCGCTGCGCATGTGCCCGCCTCCCCCTCCCACCCCTCCCTGCTCACAAGTCGTGGGTGGAAAACCATTGGAACTTGACTGTATCCCCCACTTTGATGTTGAGGATGTTAGTGGTGCCCACCCCTGGGATGCTGGGCTTGCCAGCAAACCAGTTGACCGTGTCTGCGGCAAGCAGAAGCGGCGGGCACAATTTGATGTTGGCCGCAGGGCACGACAAAGGGGCAGGGTGTCGGTGTGCAGGACCGTCATTGAAGGGCGTGCAATGACATGTGGGAAGAAAAGAGTGCCGGGGATGGGACGGGATGCAAGGCACCATGGAGGGGAGCTGCGCGGCAACAGCGGCGACGGTGCCGGCGCCCGGGAGGGGGTGCAAGGAGGGCCACACACGCGGGCCACTCCACCCTCCACCAGCCACCCCCCCCCCCCCCCGCGTCTCCCCTCCCGCAGCTCACATGTCTTGGCCGCCGTGGTGCAGGAGGCGAAGGCCAGGAGGAGGGCCAGGCCCAGGGCAGCAGTGGGGGCGCGCATGGTGGCCGCTGCGGCAACTGTGCTGGCTGCACGGCGGGCTACAACTGTGCAACTGCGGAATGTGCTCGGCCAGGAAACAATCGCTTACAGGCGGCAGCCAGACGGGAAGCCGTGCTGCGCTACCCGCCCGTTCTGTCGGGCCCATGAACAGTGCTCATGTGAAGATCGAGGCGCAGCGGCTTCGGGTACTACCAAATAGGGGCCTTTGCGCGGCTGTTCAGCGCAGCCACAGCTCCCGCTCGGGCGGCGCCTCCCCTGCCGCAAGGCAGCCTTTGCATTCAATTCGAGCGTGAATCGATCCCTACCGACCTTTTGAATGCTCAGCAGAGCCGCTGCTGTGCCCTGGTCAAAGCGCTTGCGCGCAGCGGCGCCCCGCCCACGGCAGTGCCCTTGCCGCTGAAGCCCAGCCGAAGCCGTGCCGCCTCGTCACCAGTGGAAGGGTACAGGGCTCTGCTGCTAGGTCGACACAGCAACGGTTCAGCAAAGAGACAGGCGGAGGTTGCAGGTTCTGTATGTAAGGTCGCCGCCGCCACAAAATGGGTGGGGGCTGGGAGCCAGCTGAAAGCCTGCCAGCAGGAGTCGCCATCCCTGTGTGTCTCACGCTTCCGAGGCAGGCCAGAAATGTCTGTTAATTGGGAGGAACGAAATAGGCTGGTGGTACAAAAAGAAGGGTGAGGAGGGGGCCTGACCACAGGAGGCCGCCAGAAAAAAGCGCGGGGCACAACACATCTCAGGGAGCAGCAGCGCCCGCCGTGCCGGGGAGGGCAGGCCGGAGGCGAGGAGCGGCGGCGGGCGGGGCCGGGCGCCACGCCAGCAGGCGGGCACGCCGACTAGCGTACAGGGGGAGGCCGGCCCAGGGGGCAGGCCGGGAGCCATTCAGCGGTCCCCGCAGGTACTACAAGCCGCCCTGCAAAAACTACAAAACCAGGCAGCAAAGGGGCGTGCCAGCCCTCGGCGCCGCGCTACTGAGAAGAGAGTACGGCGCGGGGGTGCGATACAGGTGGGCCGAGCTGAGAGAGGCATCCTCCCATCTCAGGGGGGGGGCCTGGCGCCTGACGGGGGCGACGGCGGCGGCGAGCAGGCGTGTGTGCATGCGCGTGTGCGTGGGGGCGACTACCGGCCAGCGCCGGCCCCGCCGGCTGCCAGGCTCGCCGGCGCCGGCGGCGCCTGCCCTGCCGCCGCGCCCGCAGCCTGCGGGGCGTGCTCGCCAGCTGGCGCCTCGGGCGGCGGGGCCTCCACCGCGGCGCGGCACACAGGGCACACGGCCTTGCTGAGCAGCCAGGGGTCGAGGCAGGCGGCGTGGAAGGCGTGGGTGCAGGCAGGCAGCACCCTGCAGAGCAGACGGGCAGGTGGGCAGACAAGCAACGGGATGAGAAACACAGCGGCAAGCGGGCGAGGCCAGCCGACCCACACCAGATCACAGAGCCTGTTGAGTTGTCTCAGCACAACAGCCCAACACGCACTTTTACCCCGCTCCACCCCAGAATCCATGCCATGCCATGCCCGCTGCACCGCCTGCCCCTCCCCGCTGGCGTGCCTGGCGGTCTCCCCGGGCTGGAAAGCGTCCAGGCACACGCAGCAGGTGGCGCTGTGCAGCCCCCCGATGGCCTCCTCGCTCAGCTGCACCGCGGGCAGCGCAGCCACCTGCGCCTGCGCCAGACCCTTGGCGGGCGGGTGGCCTGCAGGCGACGGCACGGCCGGCGGGGCGGCGGGCAGGCGCATCGGCAGGCAGGCACACGCGAGGCGCAGGGGGCATGCGGCCCGTGCCCCTGCCGCCCGCGCAGCAGCCCGGCCGGCTCTGCGTGCACGCGTGCCGCTGGCGGTACTGCTCGTACCGCCCGTACCGCACCCACCCCCAAACGCCTGGTGCAGCTCCTCATAATCCATCACATCCACCAGAGCGTTCAGTTCGTACACCACAAGCGCAGACACCAGCTGCGTGGAGCGGCCTGCGGCAGGCAGGTGGGGGCGGGCACGGCGACACAGCACTCAGCCGCATGCATCACAAGCGCAGGCGCCCGCCGCGGGCCGCTGCCGCGCGGCGGGCAGGCAGGCGGGGCGCACCGGCGCTGCGGCGGACGCCCCTGCGCTGCTGCACCAGCAGGCAGTGTATGCTTTGCTCGCTGCTGCGCCGCGTGCCGGGCAGGCGCCAACAGCGAAGCAGCAGGCGGGCAGTCAGCCAGCCAGGCAGGCAGCCGACCAGGCATGGCAGGAGGTGCCCTTGGGGCGTGCCCGCTGCAGCACCGGCGGCACTCACTGCGGGGCGCCGGGTCCGCCTCGACCTGCTGCAGCCATTCCAGCACCCGCGCAATGGTGCGCACCCGCTCGGTGCGGCTGGGCGCGGGCTGCGGCGCAGTGGCACGGGAGAGGGGGGTGGGCCGGCTGGGGGCGGCGCCAGCCTGTCGTGCCGAGCAGACGGCAGCAAAGACGGTGCACCTACGGCCTGCCCAGCCAACCGCGGACCGCACTCAATCCCACACCGAAAGAACCACAAACAGCCACGAAAGAAACATAAAACAAAAGCAAGCACCCACCTGCATGACCAGGTGCAGCAGCTGCCGCTCTTCGGCCGACATGGTGCCCGCCGCCGCCGCCTCGTCCGCGGCGCGCTGCGCGGCGCGCAGCAGCTGGCGGCGGCGCTGCTCGCGGGGGCCGCCGGGCGCGCGCTGGGCGCCGGCGCCGGTGCCGCCGCGGGCGCCGCCGCCGCTGCCTGCCAGGCGCAGCAGCTGGGTGATTGCAAAGTTGGCCACTGGGACCGCAGCTACAGCCAGCGCGGTCAGAGCAGCCCGCTGGAGGTGTGGCCGTGACGAGGCGCGGCCCAGGGCCAGCCCCGCGGCGCCGGCGATTGCGGCTGCAGGCAGCAAGGAGGCGGGGGGCGGCGGGGCGAGGGCGGCGGCGTCGGTGGCGGGTGCACCAAGGGGCGGCGCGCCCGGGGCTGCTCCGCAGGCTGCGCAGTGGCGCCCGGATTGATCAAGGGACCTACCTCGCAGCGCCATCCCAGCCAGGGCTTCGCTGCCGCCCCTGCTGCTGTTGGCGGCTCTGGAAACCGCAGGCCTGCTGCTGGGCCGGCGCCGCTGGAAACCGCAGGCCTGGCACACGACCTCAGAGTTGTTGTGCAGCGTGCAGCGCGGACAGGCCCATCCCCGCTGCACTACGACCTGCATCACCGACCCCCGCTCCTGCGCCGCCATTAGCGGTGGCGCAACAACCTCTCGGTGGACGGGCCAAAGCGTGGGATGGTGCTGGGAGCGGCACGGCGTTAGGGTTGTCAAATACAGGCGGTGCCAGCGAGCGCCAGCGGCCGAGCGCTCACGGCAGGCGCTCCCCTTCTCCGTGTCCGGACATGTTCTGCCTTGCGCTAACCTGCACTGTCATGTGCATGATCTTGGTCTTACACTGCTTATGTCACATAATCAGTACTCTACAAACAAGGTGGAGGGCGGCCACGAGCGTAACACCCGAATGGCACAGAGAGCACGAGCAGTAAATCAGAAAGGGGGATGTTGACCTTGGCGAAAAATTGGGTGAGCAGGGGTAAAAAGGGGGGATGAGGTGTCTTGTCACACCGCAGCAAGCGCTGCCGCGCCCCTGGCAAAACGGGGCGGCTGGGGCTCAGCAGAACGGGGCCTGCGAGGCGGGAAGCCCGGAGGGAAAATAGAGGCTGGCGCATGAAAGGTAATTGAGGTGGCAGGGCAGTATCTGTAACAGGAGGATCAGGAGAGCGGCGGCTCCGCAGTACAGCAGAGGGGTGCGGGTTTCATGTGTGGACGCCCACGCAGGAAAGTAGGTCAGGCAGTCGAAGCCAGCGCCAGGCTGTGCGGCCATGGCCGAGTGCATGCGTTGATGAGATGGGCAGGGAGGATGAAATGCTGGGATGCAGGGGGCCACGAGCGCAAAGGGGGCGGCGCCAACGAAACGGGGAAAGAAGGGAGGTGGGGCGCACAAACGCGACGCGACGAGGGTTTCAGTGTCCAGGCCGTGGCAGCACAGCGGTGGCACAGCAGGCGCCGGCAGCTGGCTCAGGCCTGGGGCCCGGCCGCGCCAGCCGGCTCAGCGGCGGCGGCTTCGGCGCCGGGCGGGCCTGCCGGGCTGGCAGCCCCCTGCTCACCGCCGCAGCCGTCGCCGTCTGCTGCCGGGCACGGCGCGGTGCTCTTGCCGCCGCCGGCGGCGGCGCTGGGGCTGGGCGCTGGCGGCGCGCGGCGCAGCACCAGCCGGCTGAGCATGCGCAGCAGCAGCCCCATGAGCAGCACGTGCCTCAGCACCACCTGCGCCAGCAGCGCCTGCGCCTGCCCCGACAGCGGCAGCTGCCGGCCCGGCTGCGCGCCGCCGCCGTGCCCGCTGCCACGGCGCAGCAGCTGGGCGTGGTGGTGGCGCAGCGCACGCGCCGCGCCCGCCGCCGCGCCGCCCACTGGCCGAGCCACCTTGTGGCTCACAAAGCGTCCGGCCGCGCCCAGCGCGCCGCCCGCACGCCGCCGCAGCGCCGCCGCGGCGCGCGCCTGCCTGCCCGCCAGCCCGCCGGCTGAGGCCGAGGCGGCGGCCGAGACGGCCGCCGAGGCGCCGCCGCCGGCCGCCTGCTCCTGCTGCTGCCGCCGGCGGGCCGCCACCGCTGCATCGATGGGAACCAGCTCGGCGCCGCCGCCGTACTCAGCAGGCAGCACCTGCGGGGAACAGGCCGGGAGGTGGCTCAGAACAGTGGCCAGGCCTGGCCCGGTCTTCCCAGCAACCAAGCGTGCGCAGCCCAGGGCCAGCTAGGCCCCAGGCCCCGGCCTCCAACCTCCAGCCACCAGACCACCTCCCGCCGCTGCCAGCGAGCGTGCCCGCACGCCCCGCCGCCCGCCCACCTGGGGAGGGATGCGCTCAGCCAGCGCCCGCGCCGCGCCGCGCCCCGCCACAAAGTGAATCTTGCGCCGGGTGGCGGCGTGCACAAAGGGGGCCACCACGCGCCACACGCCCCAGAACAGGAAGGGGGCGTTGAGGAAGAAGAGGCTGCAGCAGAGGAACGTGGAGGAGGCGGGCGGGGTGAAGCGTGTTGAAACGAGCTGTTTCTGCTGTTATAGTCGTGCATCAAACCCTCTAGTCGTGTATCACACACTGCATATCCGCAAAGCAGCGTGCGACACAGGCCGCTGGGTAGTACCCCCCACCCACGCCATACGCACATGCTGCCCGCAACGCTGGGTGCCAAGAATAACAGAGAAACAACACCAGAGAGTGCCGCTGCGCCCACGCATGCTGCCCACAACGCTGCTGGGTACTACCCATCACACACGCGCCTGTTGAGGCGCTCCGGGTAGTGCTGCTGCAGCAGCTCGAAGATGGCCAGCAGGACCTTGACGTCCAGGTTGCGCGGGCGCAGGCCTACGGGCGGGAGGAGGAGGGAGGTGGCGGCACACAACCCAGGTAAGAGGCGGGAGGTAGGTGGGCGGGCCAGTGAGGTGGCAGGGCGCAGGCCTGCCCGGGCCAGGAGGGAGGCGGGCGGCGCGCGCCGAGGGACGGCGGGGTGGCAGGGGGACGGGGGCTAGGGCGTGAAGGCGCAGGCGCGGCAGCGCCGCTCCCCGCAACCGCCTCCACGAGCGGCCCGCTACGCGCCGGCCTCCCACCACCGTACCCCATCCCTGCCAGCCTCCCAGCCTCCGAGGGGCAGCCTCCCAGCCTCCGATGGGCAGCCTCCCAGCCTCCCAGCCGCCGCCGCCGCCCGCCCGCCTGCTCGCCAAGCCCCCTGCCCCCAAGGCCCCCTGCCGAGCCCCTGCCAAGCCCCCTGCCCAGCCCATTCCCAAGCCCCAGGGCTCACCCGACAGGTCGAACAGGCAGCAGATCTGGCCGGCGGGTTTGGCGGCGGGGTCTGCGGCGGCGCAGGCATTGTCCAGCACATAGGCTATGAGGCGCTTGGTGCGGCGCAGGTCGCGGCGCCCCATGTCGTGCCTGCTCCAGAGGGGTGGCAAGGAGGGGGAGGTAGGTAGGTAGGCAGGGAGGCAGGCAGGGAGGGAGGGAGGGAGGGAGGGAGGGAGGAGGCAGGAGAGGGTGGAAGGCGATGAGGGGAGCACGGGGGGCGAAACGGGGGTCCAGAGAGGGAAACGCGGCGGGTGTGGCAGTGCAGGGCATCGGGCTCAAGGGCGGGGCAAGCGGCCGGGTGCAGGGAGCCGCGCCCGCAACCGGCCTTGCGGCCACCCCAGCGCACCACACACCTGGCTGCCTTGACCACCACGACGGGGCAGCCGGCGGCGTCGCGGCCCTGCAGGAACACCTTGCCCGCCGCCAGCTCATCGGCGATGCTGTCTTCTGGGATGCCGAGCGCTCCGCCCGCCCCACTGCCCGCCTCGCCTGCCGCCTCGGCCGCCGCAGCACCCACAAACTCCCGCCGCCACGCCGCGTGCGCCAGCACGGCGTCTGCCGCGGCCGCGGGGCAGCCGCCGCGCGCCTTGAGCCAGCGGGCATAGAAGCCCGCGTCGGTGGCCTCGCCGGTGGCGGCGAGGAGCTCCGCCAGCTGTGGCTCCCGTGCCGCCACCAAGTACTGCAGGCGAGCCAGGGCCGGGCACTCTCCCGGCTGGCCCGTGGTGGCAGGCGTAGGCGCGAGGAGCAGCAGGCCAGGGCGGTCAGAGGGCTCGTTATCGAACGGGGCACCAGCGAGCGGCGGGAGGACCGCGGCGGTGAAGGGGCCCAGCCGCAGGGCCAGCAGCGGCGGATCGGCCTGCCGCCGGCGCTGGCGTTTCGTGGAGGCGGTCCCTGCTGTGTCCTCGGGCCAGGGCTCGCCCACGCTCCTGCAGGGGGTGGGTGAGGGGCGCAGCACCGCGCGCCGTTAGGGCGGGCTGGGACCTGCATCGGTGGCTTCAATTGGCGCTGAGATGGCAGCCTGCACCCACCAGCAGCTGCTGGGGCAACCTTCGAGAGCCTCCATGTCCAGACAAGCGGGATGGCCTGTTCTAGGGCCCGTTGGGTGGCTAGTCCCTCCCACTCACAAAAGGGGATCAAAAGGGGCACCCGCCGGGTGCGGAGAGACCGCTATGAGCCTCCAGGGCAAGACTCACCGCCAGCGGGGCGCCATCTTCATCCAGAGGGGCATCCACCCGAGACCTCAGTGCTCAGCGGCAAAGCGCGTTAGCGTCGAGGCATTATCCATGCAGATCGGCAGTCGCCAGAGGAGGTGTGAAGCGGCACCACCGCCCCCGCCTCTGTCTGCGGCGGCGGTGTGGCACTTGGCACCAATGTCTCTGCCCTTGCTGATGTTGAGATACGGCATCGAAGCCGGTGCTTGTTAGCTGGAAGGCTACGGTATGTACAGGAAATGTCGAGGGAGGGCAAGCAAGGGAAGGCGGCAGAGGCGCTATGTTGTGCCCGCCCCAACCGTTGGTTGCACCCACAGTGACTGTGGGATGTGGTGTCATGGCTTGGGAGCTGGTTCTCCTTGCCCAGGCGGCAAGCCGCCGCCCCGTCACTTGCGCCGACTGGGGAGGCACACCGGAAAGTCATCGTTGAAGGCGCAATAGGAGTTTCCGCAGCACTTGGGCAGGCTCTTGTCGCCCCAGAAATCGCATGTGGCGCCGTCTGGCACGCAGCTCTGCAGCCAGCACAAGAGGAGAGGGTGGGGAGGGAGGCGTAGTGAGGGGGATGGCCGGCTGCACCATTGTTCCATGATGGGGGCAAGAACCGGGCCGGCAGCTGGCGCAGCGGCGCAGAGGTGGGCAGCGCTGAGCGGCAGCCAGGGGCGTGGCTTGGCGGGGCAGGCGGGCCACCGAGCAAAGCTGCTGCTGCATGCCCTTCCGGGGCCCGGCGGGGGCCTGGGAACGCGGCACACGGCTAGCCATACGCAAGTGCAGGCATTCACTGGTGGAAAGCAGCGGCGTACCGCGCAAATGTACTTGGTGGAGTACTCCTGGCTCTGAACACACTTCATGGCCTGGTTGCAGCACACCCAGCCCCCCGAGCAGTCCTCGCCGTCGCCCTTGCACGCAAAGCGCACCGGCGCCTGCACGCAGCGGGGGGCAGGCGCGTGGGCAAAGACGCACCACGCTTTGTATGGTGTGGCTGCACACGGGTCAGGTGCGGGGCACGGCTGGTGGGCGTCCTCCTGGGCAGGTCGGGATGCAGGAGCGCACCTTGACAGGGCGGCGGCAGGGCCCCCGCTTGCTGCACTTGGTGCCGGCCTTGCACTTGACCACCCGGCCCTTGAGGCAGTAGGTGCTGCAGGCAGCGGGCGGCGGCATGGGCGGCATGGGCGGTGGAGCGAGGCAGCCGCAGCTGTGGCTGCCACCTGCGGGCCGCACATTCACGCTGGCAGACACATTGCGTGGTGCAGTGGGAGGTGGGCTGATTGGCAGCACGGTCGCTGCTCTCACCTGGAGGACAGGCAGGCCTTGTTTGCCTTGCCGCACTTGGCGCCCGCTGCGTGGCGGCCAATGGTGGCTCGCACCCCTCGGGCCGCCGCCGCGGTGGCGAGGGCCAGGAGGAGGAGCAGGGCCAGCAGCAGCCGCAGCGTGCTGCTGGGGGTCATTGCTTTGCAGGCAGCCATGGGTCGTTCCCTTGTGCTCGTCTCAGGCTATGAACCAGGCACAAGCCTGCAAGTGACCATGCGGCGGGGCGGGGAGGCGGCGGTGGGTATCCCGTCTGCCACCTGGCTCCCCAGTGAGAGACCCGCCCTCAGCGCACTCGACACCCTTCTAACATGCGGTGAGGCTTTGAAGCAGGGAGCGGCGTCGGCCGCTGGGTTAGGCCCGCACCACACACGCGGACAGCAGGGAGTGGATGCAGCAGCCACTCTGGGCGGCACAGGTGTGAGGAGGCCCTCCCACTGCTTTCACGCGTGCACCAAGCTGTGCTCACCCTTTCCGGTTTCGGTGTGTCTCGTTTACACGCTGACTCCAGGTCTCGTGTGCAAGCGTGATTGGTTGTTTCGTAACCCGAGGGAGCTCGGTGTGGAATTGTTCTGCAAGAGAGAGGGCGCCGGGCCGCGGGTGGTGTGCCAACCCCGCCGTGCTGGCACAGCGCAGCCGCAGCATGCCGACGCATCCGCTGGCAGCTGCCTGCACCTGGCTGCCACGCGGTGGTCTTCCCTGCCATGCGGCGCGCCCTGAGGTTACATGAGCGATACGCGGCATCTCACAGGCTCGATGTAGGGCCTGGCAGCCGTCACACATTGATGCCGCCCGCCCGAAGGTGCTGCCGGTACTCCTCGCCCCAGCATTGTACCAGGAAGCTGCGGAGGCGAGGCACATACTCTGCAGGGAAAAAGGAAACACCAAGGAAGGGGCAGGAAAAGGAATCACAGGAGTGGCAGGTCAGCAGGCGCTGTAGCGCCGGGCGTGGAGACGAAACGGCGGGCTGCCAGCGTCTCGCCTTTCACCAGCATCAGCTGCGGCCTCGCCAGGCCGCGGCAACTCCCCTGCTGCCTCACCTGGGCTGGTCTCCAGGTCCTGATGTCCGCGCCCGGCCGCCCACAGGGGTTCAGCGGGCCGCCGGCTTAGCCTGTGCAGCTGTGGGGAGGCAGCGGGGGCATGGCGGCCAGGGTGGCACAGAGCGTGGCAGGCTCAGCGCGGCAGCAACTGGGACGCATGCAGCGAAGTCGCTGGGCGAGCCGGCGGCACCCGCCACAGGTGCTGCTGCCCCGCAGGGCCCCAGAAACACCAGCACGCACCACCCCACACACCAGCCCACCTCTCTACCGTGCGACACATCGATCACCTCGTCTTGCAGGCCCTGCAGCCGGGGCCAGCCAGCAAGGCAGGCCTGGCTGGTGCATGGAGGCACACTGCGGCACGGGGGCCTCTCTTCCACCCTTCCCCCTTCTCTCTCACGCTCAGCGCACCGCTCCTTGCGCCACACATCTGCACCCCCCACACCACACACGTGCCAACCACGCTCACTCACGTGCATCACCAGCACCGGCCCGCCTATCTTGGGCACCAGCTTGAAGTTGGGGTAGATGTCGGCAAAGGAAGGCCAGCGCTTCCACCCGGGGTTGAGCACCCGCATGCCTGCGGCAAGAGAGGTTAAAGAGCCAGAGCATGGTAATGCTTGTGCGCATGGTGCTCGCCGGTGGTGGTGTGGGATAAATGCAGGCGCCTGTGTGTGGGGGGCATGTCCGCCTCGCAGATCGGGCAGGAGGCGAGCGGGCACCATGCAGCCGCCCGGCGTGCCTGAGCAGAAGGGCGCGTGCAGCACGGTGCCGGCCAGGGTGGGCAGGTGCGAGGCGAGGTAGCAGGTGGGACCAGAGCCGACTGCAGCGGGGCGCACGCCATGTGAGTGGGCTGTGGGGTGCAGAGATCGATCGACAGCAGCAAAGCGCAGCTGCAGCTGCAGCCACCCGCACCTTGGCTAGCGCAGACTAATGGCCCTCCCTCCCCACTGACTGCCGCCCCCACACACGCCCCCCCCACACACGCCCCCCACACAGACAATATGAATGGACACCTGACTGCCCGTACAGCACGGTGTCCTCCAGCCGCTTGCCCAGCTGGCGCTGCAGGAGGTCGGCCACCGCGGAGATGTCGTCCAGGGTGTGGGATACCGCGGGCGTGCCGGTACTGCAGCCGTACCTGCAACAGCGGTGCGGCACGGGCGGCACGGGGCCCGGCTCGGCTGCGTGCTGCTGCTGCCAGGATTGTGCCCATCATATCATCCGGTGCAGGGGCAGTCCCCTGGCTCCTCCAGTCACACGTAAACGCCACATGTGCATATGCACAACCACACACACACGCGCACACACGCGCCACCAAGCCAGCCCCGCTCACCCCGTGTAGTCGTAGCTGAGTATGTTGCAGCGCAGCAGGCGGGACAGCTCCTCGTACAGCGGCAGCATCTCTCCTGCCTCACGGGTTGCAGGCCAAGGGGCACGGCACAGCAGAGCGTGTCAAGTGTGTCGGCACGTGCAGGTCGAGCGCGGCGCCCCTGCTGCTGCCGATGAGACACTAGGTGTGCTGCTTCTGCCCCGCTGCTCCTGCTGCTGCTGCTCCGTTTCTGGAGCACCGCTCCATCGGCACCGCCTCCCCACCCACCTAAGTCAACCGCATTGCCGTGGCTGTGCACCAGCGTCCAGCGCACGCCCTGCTTCCCGCCGGCGCCGCCACTGGAAGAGACGGCGCTGGCCCCGGGGATGAAAGCCGCCACTATCGTTTCTTTCTTCACCCCCAGCTGGTACACCTGCGCCTTGGGCACCTTCTTGAGGTGGCTGCAGGGCAGTCGCAGGCAGGGGGGTGGCGTCAGCTTGAGGTTTGGGAGCCGACGGCGGGTGCATCGCCGCGGGCCGGCTGGTATGCTAGCAGAAGGCTGGCAGCAAGCCCGCACCTGCGCAGCGGGTGGACGTATGTTTCTCTGTCTCCGTCCCCATGCTGTGCCAGCTGGTAGGTGGGCGGCTGCAGGAGCACGAGGGGAGCAGAGAGGGTTGGTGCAGCTAGCCGGTGCAGCGAGCCGCAGGCGGCAGCGGGGGCGGGCCGGCTGCCTGCTGGGTGCAGCGTTGTGAGCGGCTGCCGTGCCGGAAGCTTCAGCAGGCCGCCGCAGCCTACGTTTGGAGGGAAGAAAGCGAGGCCGCGCGACAGGTTGTCAACAAATTTCTGCCACACCATGCTCCCGCTCCTGCCGCCCACGGCGCCTGCCAGCCGCGACACGCCGACGCTGCTCGCGCGGATGGCTAGAAGGAAGTTAAGGTTGGAGTGGCCCTGCAACACGTAGGTGGAAAGAGTGGCTTACAGGCGGACGTAAAGGCGGGCAGGGATGGGCAGGTAGGCGGGTGGGACGGCAGACGCGCGGGTGGGCACGAGGGCGGCGGCAAGTGGGGGAGCTGCCAGGGCTGAAGCGGGCCCAGCTAGCAGCGGTGGCAGACCTGCTGCTCTCCTTCGTGCCTAGTGCCGGGTGCAGGAGGCGCAAGACCAGAAGGGTGGCCAGCGATCGAGAGGGTTGGCGCCTGTGCGGAGCCTTGCCTCTATTGCTAGTTGTCGCGATCGCTGCCTGCCAATTTTGGCGCCGCCCCATCTGCCAACCTCAACTACCCCAAATGCCGCCGCCAGCGCCGGCCCCGTCAGCAAGGATCCTCTCCTTGAAAATAGCAGCAGCTTTCAACAGCAAGCGTTCTTTGCCCGCCCCGCCGCCATCAAGCGGTCTGGTAGCGATGAGTGCGCCTCTGGCCGCGCCCCTGGAGGAAGGGGACGATGTGTTTCTCGAGCTGGCGGCAGCCATGGAGGCTGAGGAGGAGGAGGACGGCGCCGAGGAGCCGCCGCCCACCGCCAGCCAGCGCAGCAGCGGCGCAATGGGCGGCGGCAGCAGTGCCGGCGGCCCCCGCCTGTCGTGGGCTGCACGAGCCGCCGCCGCCGGATCCGCGGGCGCCGTGCCACCAGGCCACCAGCCCCGCCAGGCGGTGCTGCTCCCGCCTGGCTCCATCCCCTGTGCCCCCACGGCGCCACTGCTGCTGCCAGCCAGCCAACCAGCGGCAGCCGCGGGCGGCAGCGGGGTGGTCGTCTTTGGCAGCCGGGGCGGCGTGGCGGGCGGCAGCACAGGAGCGGCGGCAGCGGGCACCTTTTCCGATGTGGGGCAGGGCTCGCTAGTGGAGCGCTACGCAGGGCTCAAGGCACGGCCGCACTCCGGCACTCCGCTGGGCCTCCCCTCTTCCACTTGCTGCTGCTGCCGCTGCCGCTGCTCTCGGGGCAAGTGCACTGCTGATGAGCATCCTCGGCGATGCTTCCACCCACCCTCCCTTGCAGATCAAAAACCCGCGCGTGTCCCACACCCAGCTGCGCAGCCGCCTGGCCGACACCTCGGTGCTGCGGCTGTCGCAAGTCAGGTGGGGCGCTCGGGGCGGCGGCGGCGGCGCGCCTCGACTTCTTGCGACTGCCCGGCTGGACTGGACAGGGCTGGGTTAAACAGCTGGACTGCGCTGCCGTGTGTGGCGGTCTGCCTGCTGCCGAAGACTCTCCGATGTCTGCCCCGCACCCACCCGCCGCCGCCGTGGCCCCTGCTGCCACGCTGCCGCACAGGCAGCGCCACCGCACGGCGGGCCTGGAGGGGAGCTGGGTGGCCATCTGCGTGGTGGGGGAGAAGAGCAAGCCGCGGGAGACGGCGGCGGGTGCGCTGCGCCGGCAGTTGTGGTGGTGGTGGTGGTGTGCTCTATGGGGGTGTGCATGCTGCGCCCGCTGCTCCTTATCTGTAGAGGCATGCATGCAGCCTGGAGGGCATGTGGAGCTGCCCTTCACGTCTCCCGCAGCACCCACCACCAGCCTGCATCCCGCAGCTTGCCGCTGGCGTGGTGTGTTCATGCGTTTGGCGTTTTACCGCCCCGCTGGTACCGCAGGCCGTTCGTACAGCATCTGGAAGGTCACCGACCTGGACCAGACCTGCCTCTCCCTCTTCCTCTTCTCGGGCGCCCACGATGAGCTGTGGAGGGAGGCGGAGGGCTCCATCGTGGCCCTGCTGTCGCCCAAGGTGCGGCATGCCTGCCTGCATGTGTGTGTGTGTGTGTGTGGTGGGTGTATCAGAACGAAACTGCCGGCAGCTCCTGCGGCCGCCGGCGCTGCGCTGGCGCCGCAAAACAACCAGGACGGTTGGCTTGGTGTTCTGTTGTTGTCAACGGCCGGGGCTGTCGGCGATGTGCTGCGCAGGTCAAGACGGAGGGCGACTTCTCGCTTTCCGTTGATTCGGCAGACCAGGCAAGGGCCCTTTCTGCCCCGCAGGCTCACTTCCCCTCCTCCTGCTTCCTGCTGTGCCTCATGCTGTCGCCTCCCGCCGTCCGCTGGCCGCTGCCTGCTGTGCGGCCCGCCTCACGCCGCCTTTGCGCCTGGTCCCGCCTCCGGCCTGGCACTGTGCCTGCAGGTGTGGGTGCTGGGGCAGAGCACGGAGTTTGGGTACTGCAAGTCCAAGAAGAAGGTACTGCACGCTGTACCACTTGTGTACACTGCTTTCGTGCCGCTTCGTAGCTGCCGAAGCGGCATTGCCGTGTGCCGGCAGCGCTGCTGCTCCGCTGCTGCCAGGCATGCCGGCTGGCGTTTTGCTGCTGCTTGGCTCCTGAGCCCGCTGCCCTCCCCGCCCCAACTGTCCTCTTCCGGCTGCAGAACGGCGAGCCGTGCCGCATGCCCGTCAACGCGGCGCGCTGCCCCTTCTGCCCCTACCACGTCAAGGTGCGGGTGCTGAGGTGGCGGCACATGCTGAGGTGGCGCATTCTGAGGTGGCACAGCGCAGCGCAACACGGCAGGCGGCTCGACCTGCGCCGCTGGGAAACCTGCCCAGCCTGCTGAAGCCGTGTTGCCAAAGTCGTACCGCTCAAACCATACCGCCACAACCGTACCGTAGAGCGAGTACAACCGCATGAAGCCCACCGGGCGCACCGAGTTCCAGACCTCCAACCTCAAGACAGCCTTCCGCCCAGGCCTGCAGCGCGGTGCGTGTGGCCCCTCCCAGTGTTGGATCCGTTTTTTCTGCGCGTGGTGGATGCGCCACTGTGGGGAGTGTGGGAGGCACAGCACCGCGTCGGTGCGGCGGGCAGGCAGGGAGGCGTGTGGCTTGCGCGGGGCGCCAGGCCCCAGCCTTCCAGCGCCACGCCCGCACCCGCCGCCGCTCCTGCAGGTCTGCCCTGGGCTCCCGGAGAGTTTGAGGTCGCCGCGGTGCGGCAGCAGCGCATCCGCTCTCTGAGCTCCGATCAGGCAGGAGGGCGGTCACGCCTGCTGTGCTGCGCCTTTCTTCCCTATGCCTGCCCCATATTCCAGCCGGCTGCTGCCATTGTTGGCGAGCCTGCAAGGGCAAAGCGCCAGCCGGGCCGGCATCCTTGGTCGGTTCCCTTGGGTGGCCTGGCCTGGCCTGGAGCCAGCCTCGGCTGTTCCACAGGCTCCCCCACCGCCTCCAGACCTTCCTGCCCACCCCTCCTCCTGACCATCCCTGCTCCCTGCCCTGCAGCTTGGGGGCGTGGCCGCCAGCGCGCGCAACAAGGGCAGCGACGCGGGCGCCAGGTGCGCGGCCGCTGGCAGGCAGGACCTGCCCGGCGGCTGCTTCCTCCTGTCCATTACCAGCATGGCTCCGGGGGCATAGAGTCCTGCCCTGTTTCCTTCCACGTCCCCGCCTATCAGTGGCTCCTTTCCTCTCCGCTTGCCTCTCCGCTTGCCTTCCCGCTTGCCTCTCCGCTTCCCTTCCCGCTTTCCTTCCCACCTGCCCTCTCCCCACCTTGTGGTTTTGAGCAGGTATCTAGACACAGTGGCCAACCCGGCAGCAGTGGCAGCAGCGGAGGCCGCCGCCAAGCACCGCCTCACTCCCGCCGCCGCCATCGCTGCAGCGCAAGCCAAGGGCCGCACCGAGGCGGCCCTGGCCGCGGCGCCCATCCCGGCCGGCCGCCCTGGAGGCTCGCTGGTGCTGCAGCTGCCGCGGCCCAAGCAGCAGCAGCAGCAGGGCAAGCGCAAGGCTGGGGTGGGGCGGCCGGGCGGCGGCGGCAAGCGCAGGAGCAGCAACGTCGCAGGCGAGGGCAGCGGACTGATGATTGAGCTTGCGGATGAGGAGGATGAGGAGGTGGAGGCCGCCGGTTGCGGCGCTGCTGCTGCGGCTGGTGGTGGTGGTGGTGGTGGTGGCAGTGCCTATGACCCAGCGGCTGCCGCCAGGCAGAGGGCGGTGGAGCTCCTGCGGGCTGCAGGTGCGCTGCCTGGGCGCCGCCGCTGCTGACTGCCGCCGGCAGCAGCTGCCGCCTCCGCCTCCTGCACCCTCTTCCTTCGCTTTTGTTCCTGCTGCCGCTGGCTGTGTGCCCCGTGTGCTGCCTGGAAACTCCCGCGACCCTAAAAGCCCTAAAAGAACCAAAATCAAGCTGCGTCTCTGCTGGGTGGCGCTGCCTGCAGGCGGTGCCGCGGCGCCAGACCCCAACAGCAGCCGCCGGGTGCCGCAGGTCATGCAGGCGGCGGTGCAGCGGGTGCGGGCCTCTCAGCCAGCAGGCGGCAGCAACGCTGCAGCCGCTGCACCAGCAGCAGCAGCGGCGGCGACAGCAGCAGCAGCGGCAGCAGCAGGGGGAGAAGTGCGGCGTGCGGCGGCGCCCAGTGGCGCCGCTGCCGCAGCGGCCGGCGGCCGGCGGCCTGCCCTGGCGCAGACGCAGGCTCACCGCCCTCCACCGCTGCCATCGGTGGTTTCTGGAGGCCCCGCGGCGGCGCGGCCGCCGCCGCCGGTGTGCCGGCCTGCACTTCCTGCGGGGGCGGCCGCAGGCAGGGCACCTGCAAGCGGTAGTGGGGCAGCGAGCGGCAGCGGCAAGCCTCCTGCTGCCCCCCAGTCTGCCATGGAAGCTGCCTTTGGGGGCGTGCTGCAGGAGGCAGGGGCATCGAGCGCAGCTGTCCAGGGCACCAGGTAATGCTGCTGGTGGTGGTGGTGGTTGTCAGGGGCAGGAGGTGCTCCGCTCTCGCCTCCCTGCCGCTGCCGAAATGCTGGCGCTCAGAGCTGGGCATTGGTTGCTGTCGGTCAGTATTACGTTGTGGCTGCTGCTGATGTGGTGGTGTGGTGGTACTATGCATGGCACTGCAGGTACAAGGAGCTGGTGGATGACGAGGAGTTTGAGAAGCTGGACAAGGTACCGCAGGGCAGCTGCCCCATTCCACCCCCATCACCTCATCAGCCCCCCCCCCCCCCTAGCCGCTCGACACCAATCGTGAGACCACCCAGCTTCCAACCGCCTTCCAAGCCCTCCCTCCCCCCCCGTCCCCCCCCCCCCCATCCCCCCCCGCCCCAGGTCATGAGCGTTCTGGAGCAGAAGGACGAGATGGCGGCGCGCATGGAGGGCGTGACGCGCCTGGCGGTGCAGGTGTGTTAGTCTGTGTGTGTGTGGAGTAGAGTGGGGGGTGACAGAGCTGTTGGTGATGGCGTGTGTGGAGGATGTGTGACAGAGCTAGTGGTGTGTGTGTTTGTGTGTGTGTGTTGATGGAGGCATTGGGTTGATGCGCCTACACACAACTGGCCCCATGCTGGCTGCTGCGCCTGCGAGCGGTGGCACGCATGCCGCCTGAGCCGTGCGGTACCGCCTCGTCCCGCAGGCATTCCGCTGCAAGCTGTGCTGCTACACCGCGGAGCGGCGCCGCCGCGAGTGCTCTGCACACCCGCACGCTGTGGAGAGAGTGGAGGTGGGCAGGCACCGCGCATGTGCCTGGCAGCGCTGCCGCCTGCTGCTGCTGCCCCCCGCTGACCTACCTAGCTGGCCTGCCCTGCTAGGCAACCGCCCTCCGCACTGCTGCTCCGCTCCGCTCGACTCTCCCTCACCAGCTCCGCTCTGTTCTGCGCTGGCCCGTGCTGCCCCCTGCGCTGTGCTGCCTCCGCCCTCTGCGTGCCCTATTTCTGCCTGCCGGCGGCTTGCTGCCTGCGGCGCGGCATGCCGGTGTGCAGCAGCACCGGCGCGCGCCGCTGCTCCCCGCTGCCTGCCTGCCTGCCGGCGCCTCTCTCAGGCGCTGCCACGCACCCGCCCGCCTGCCTGCGCCTCACCCACTCAATCGGCCGCTGCCTGCAGGTCACCAAGCGCTGGTGGCAGTGCCAGGGCTGCAAGCACCGCTTCACGACGGTGGGGCTCAAGTATCCGGCAGGCCGCTGCGCCAAGTGAGGCTGCAGCCTCGCTCGGGGCGCATGCATGCAGCATGTTGCCTGTTGCGGGCCCCTGCCTACCTGGCAATGCCCTGTGCGCCGGGCTTCGCTGCTGGCCCCGCTGCCGGTACTTGCATAGCAGTTGCCGCACAGCTGCCCCCTGCACACACACATTGTGGCTGCCGCCCTTGCCCTGCCCTCTGCTTCCCCGCTGCAGGTGCAACCAGCCGGGCACTGAGTTTAAGTCTGTCGGCATGTTCCGCCCGCCTCGGGAGCACGAGCTGCAGAGGCAGCAGAGCGCGGTGGCGGGCCGCGACCAGCTGGCGGCGCGGGGCGCTGAGCAGAAGTGGGCCAACAGCTGGTGAGCTGTGGCGGACGGCTGGGGGCGGCAAAGCGGGGAGGTGTCTGGGCCTGTTTCTAAGGGCAGCTTTATCGAATACTGTTATGCTGTTCAAGAAGCTCAGCTCCATTGAAAGTACACGGCCGTATCCGTATATACTGGGAACGTGGGGGGCAGGCTGCCCGCCGTGCCCGCCGGCCTCCCGCAGCCCGCGCGTGGCGGGCGCTGCAGCGGCCTGCCGCGCCTGCCTCCGCGCCTGCGCTGGCCTCAGCTGGCCCCTTTGGTGCCAGGCATTTTACGACGGTGGTTGCAGCGCTGCCACGGCGTGTGTGTCGTACGGGTGAAGTGCTGTGCGCTGGGCTTTTGGGTTTGTGGTTACTGTTTGGGGCAGGCGGGAGGCGAGTGCTAGCGGCGGCGCAAGGTGGGGGGCTGGCAGTTCTGTCCATTATAGGCGGCGGACAGGTTGCCGCCACTGCCCTCAATGGCGGGCCAAGGAGCGCAGTCAACTGCACGACGCCGAGGCAGCGTGCATGGAGCAGACCCCAGCCTGACCCAGCGGGCGAGGCGGCCGGCGGCTGCCTGTCTGTCTGTTACACCCATAAGGAGCAAGTGAATGCAACAGGCCCAGCTGTGGTGCTGCAGCTGGAGAAGGTGTGACGGCACCACACACAAACGAGGAGAGAGAAGGGAGGCCCTGCACAACCAAAAGATCAATCAAGAGCTTCTACTACCGAGTATTGTTCTACTGCGGGATTCCGGAAGAAGTATCAAGGGATGTTATTCAGAACGTGCGGGACGCGTGGTGTGTGCTAATGCTGTGGCGCGGGCCCGGGATCCGACCTCGTGCCACCGGGTCGGTGCTCATGGCACCGAGCCCAGTGTGAAGGTCCCCAGCTTGCGCCGGTACTCGGCCACGTCGCCATACGGCCGCACGTCGTGGCGCAGGTCCAGGCCGGTCCACGCCGTCTTGCCCAGCCAGTTGTCAAACTCGTGGTCCGATATTGAGACGCCGCTGCCGCCGACCGGCCAGCTGCGGCGCGTGCCCACGACCGCGGTCGGCGTCACAACCGTGTGGTTGACCTCAAGGAAAGTGGGGGGTGGGGTGGGGCTGTCCATGACCCAAAGCACACAGTTGGTGTCGTTGGTGGCCATGCCCGGGCCCTTGGTTCCCAGAGGGTCAGGGATCGTGACGTTCACCCCGAGTGGGATCGCCGGCGTGATGCCGACATTCCACTTGCGGCATTTCTTGGTGAGGACCCTGCCTATGCTGCTCTGCACCGTCAGCGTGGGTGGCAAGTACCCCCCCTGCACCTGCACGTTGCCTTCCACCAGCAGCGAGGGGCCTGCAGGCCAACGGCAGGGCGACAGCCAGGCGGCCAGGGCGGGATCAGCAGCAGCAGACAGGAGGTGTGGTGCCCCCACCTGGCCAGCATGCTTGCTTGTGTGGGCTTAAAGTCTGGTAAAGCAAGAACTAGCTTGCAACATAGACTCCCCGCCGAAACGGGACGGGAACCGGGCGAAAGCAGAGAAAGCAATAAAACAGGGGTGGAGCAAGGCGACATGCAACGCAAGCAGCTGACAGGGCACGCATCGAAACGTGTGTATGACTGGCAAAGTGGCATGGAGCATTGGGGAGAAACGCAACGGTACGGGAGCATGGGTTGGCCAAACGGCAGTGCGGAACGCTAGGTCACTAGAAAAGCAGGGAAAGGCGCACTATGTATGCAATGAGGGCAGCCCCGGCTGGGGGCCGTTGAGAAAGCAGTGGGCGGGAGGGGGGAGGCCCCGGTGTGGGCGGGCCCCATCGAGGGGGGATGGGGCGCGCAAGCGGCCAGATGGGGCGGGGCGCGGGCGGCAGTGGAGTCCTGC